TAGAGGCGGTTGTGTGCCGGTTGTCGGTAAGATTACTCTTTTGGTGAAGAGTGTGTTATTCAGCACTATTCTGTAGGTGGCTTGACTGTCTGGTAATATCCGTTGTGTTTTGTTGCCCTGTTTAGGCAGATCGGCCTCACCTTTTGGAGAGCTCGCTTTCAGTTGTTGTGGAGACCTCTCGTGTTTTTTTTTTTTTTGTCCATTATAAATAAATCCCTAAGTTTGTACCATCCGTTTTCCTCATCCTTTTCATCCCGGTTCTATTCATTGTGTTACACCCTCCATCCCCTGGGCTCCATCAAGGGCTGTAACACAGGTAAAGGCAATTCAGTTTTATTTATAAAGCCCAATATCACAAATCACAATTTGCTTCGGAGGGCTTTACAGCATGCGACATCCATCCATCATCTGTCCTTGGACCCTCACAGCAGATGAGGACCCCCCCCCCCCCCAAAAAAAAACAGGTGTCAGTTTGCCAGATCATTACGTCTGATTTGAGTCTGAGCCTCCATTACAGTCATAGTGAGAGAATGCACACACACACACACACACACACACACACACAGAGGCATGTCTTGTAAGCTGAGGAGTGCAAATGTTGCTTTTTTTTTATTTAAAACTTTCCAAGAATTAAGTTTACAACCCGTAACATTACATTACAGAACTGGTGCAGAAAATAAAAATAAAAAGAGGCATGATAACGTCAGGTTAAGCAATTATTGTGTGCATTGATCCGATTCACAAATGTTGCATTTTTATAAAAGAAATCATTAAAGTGTTAACCTGTTTGCCACCATGAACTCACATGGCAACTATAAAAGGCCTGGAGTTGCCATCATGTCATAAGACATGTTGATGATTACATCATTTGGCCACACCTGAAAAGGGAGCAGTTGGTGGACTTATCAACCTGTTGCTGAGGAGTAAAAACTGCAGGTTCACTCTGGGTTGATCTGAGATCCAGACAAAGCAAACAGAGGAATTGGCATCTGTCAATGAGTTAGTGTTAAATCAGTATAAAATCATCCTTCATATGACACACTTGTGTTGCAATAAACTAAATAATGCTGCAAAATGCAACTTATTACAAAATATAATGCAGGGATGACAGATTACATGTGTCAGCTACAGATTTTACATCACAGGATCCAAAGAGCAGTCATTGGGAAAGATCTCCACAACGGAACAAAATGAGAGATGTGGCTACCGCATGTTACAAAATGTGAATTTTGGCTGGACTGCAGGAGATATGAGCTTATGTGGAGGCAGAGCCTGGATAAACAGATAAAACAGACACAGCGGTGCCTGTGCCAGCAGCTGTGGAAAACAGGGAGCCCATGAGCAATTCTAGCTGATTTCCTTATTTTTTTAAACATGAATGTGAACCAGATTCAATTCAGCTGTGTGTTTGATAGCAACAACAAAATGGAAATAATCGCACCCACACATATTATCATATTCAACATCCTTTCCTATGTTTTGGCTGATGCTTTTATCAAGGTCTCACCACAGCCTCTTTGATAGGACATAGTGAAAACATGTGTGGTTAAGAGGTTGATATACCAAATAATAATTCAGAAGACAGTGCGATTTCATCTCACACACATATTTGCTTGGATGTCAGAGTGCAGATGTGAGATATGAGGCCTCCATTTTTGCAATCTGGACTCTGGTTCCTCAACAGCTTTTAAGGACACTGATACCACATTACAAAACATTATCAGACAGGTTACAACATTCAGGTTCATCCTGTCTGTGTCTTTTTGATAGTAGGTTAGTTCATCTGACATATGAGAGATTTTGGCTGGCTCTTCTCTTAGTTTCTGTGTGTGGGTTTTAAAGCCCACGCACACACGGGCTGCTTTTAGGTTGATTAATGTCAATAAATGATATTTCCATTTGCTCTTGGCTACTTACTTTGAATTAAACAGGGCACTGGGTTTGCTATGGTGCCCCTGCAAGACAGAGAGCCTTAAATACTCATTTACACAGTGAGAAAGAGCATCAGGTTGTGTTTAAGTGTAAAAAAAAGATGAGTCATTATTGTGAGATTGTCATAAATAGAGTAAGTGAATTATTGACATATGGTAATGCAAATTAAACTAGACTGAAGGACACAGCTTAACTTGTAAAAGAAAATTTCCATCATTGATTCGAAGTTGAAATGGTACCACCAGACAGTGAGGAGGGTCCTTCTCCCCCTCTCGCTGATTGGGCACACCCCTAAAACACTCCTACCTCCTCGCCCTCTGATTGGCTCATATGACTCATTTGAAGCAGCAGAAGGCAGCTCGCCATTAGTCAAAGGACACGCCAGTCCAACAGTCATGATCTGCCTCCTGCATAGACCGATGCGTCGGCTGATGTGGAACCAGTGCACCGAGGACCAATCAAAATCCTTCATTTTGACGGGCAAGTCTGCCGCGTGCATGAGAGACTCCTCCATACAAATCTATTGCGCGTTCGCGTGTGAGGGATGTTCAAGACTACTACGGGATGCAGCTGCAGTCTGTAGGCTATGTGCGGGTTAAATTAAATATTTGTCTAAATAATTCAATGCATCTGTTGGCAAGTGGACAATCTCTTATTTTAGAAAGCCATCATGTACATTCTAATGAATGTATGGCCAGAATAGGGTTACTATGCTTTTGAAACCATTCAGGAGGCATATTTCAAAGGCAGACAGAAAGAAGTCTTGGAATAGTTTGCATGCATACACCTGTAGATTAGATTAACTATAGATTAGGCTAGATATCATTTAAAGCCTCAATAGAGGAAGTCACCCATGTGAAACCCCCCAGAGAAACAGGTCAGACATGTCACAGCAAATAACATACCAGTGACACACTGCCACAACACCAACAGAGTTCAGTTTGGGAGCCTGTCTGGCCAATGAATTAATATATGTACATATATATATATATATATATATATATATATATATATTCAATGTAACTGATCAGTTATCTTGATCAGTTGATTCACTGGACACTGAAATGTAACTATCAAATAATCATAAATTAGGATCAGAAATACCTCAAGTCCAAGTCCAAGGGTCTGGATACATATCTATGATATTTTACTGTCATTCTAGTAACATTTTTGTCAGAATAGCAATGATCTATTCCCATACTCTGGTTATGTGACATTTGCTCTCATTCAAAGTCTTTAGATATCCTAAAATATTCACTTAAGGTCCATTGTGAAGGATTTAATAGCATCTAGCAGGGAGGCTGCAAAACTGAAGCTTCTGCCAAGTGCCAAGCATGTAGGAAAACCGTGGTGGCCACTGTGAAAACCTGAAAACGTAAGGACAGGAATGGCACTGTAGAGCCAGTGTTTGATTTGTCTGTTCTGGGCTACTGTAGAAACAACATGGCGGACTCTGTGGAAGAGGACCCGCTCCAGGAAGTGCGCCAGGATTTGAAGCCAATTTTCGTGGTGGCTAAACAGTGTAATTACTCCATCACGTGATGCCCTGTGACCCAAAAAGACTTTTCCCTATAGACTTACATTGTGAAAAAGACACATTTTTTTGAGCATCACAGTGACTTGTTTCACATCAGGATTTAATCCATTTGGTCTGATAACATTTGGAAAGTCTAGAGGAGCTGCACAGTTGAATAATCTTATCCCCATTCAAGTTAGCGGAGTGCTAAATCAGAGGTAGCTGTCTCGGCTGCTCTCGGCAGCAGAAAGTCTCTAGTGTGCTTGGCCTGTGGGCTGCACAGCACAGAAGCAGTGCCAGTAATCCAGGGAATTATATACACGACAGTTAAACCATTTTGGTTTCATGTGCCACTGAGCAATTTTCATAGGAATGGACAGGGCCTCGTGATGCTGTGTCCAGGGGTCTCATTTATAAAACACTGCATAGGATCCATACTAAAAATGTACGTAGGTACAAAATCCAAAAAGCCAAAAAATATTAGACAATTTCTACAATCAGGCTTCCACCTCACCATCTGCGTCGCCAAATACCGGTCTCCAAAATGTTCTTATTCATGGGTCAAAGTGTCTCCTGTCAGCTTTTGTGTGGGAAGTGGCGTGCGCCTCTTTCAGTCCTCGTTTTGTATGTACGCAATATTTACAAATAAGACCCCAGGTTTCTTCATAATCCATGACCCGCTCCCTATATAGATATAAATGATTTTTATTTTCAGGTGATTATAAACAATCATAAACAAATGAAAACCATATCTGCCAGTAGATGCCCCTAATTCCTACACACTGGACCTTTAATCTTGCATTTAAATGTAAGATTAGGAGTTGAAATATAAATCTTAAAATGCACATATGATTAATAGTGAGCCTACAGCTATCTAAAATTAAGATTGTGGGACAGACGTTTATTAACACTCTCTTGAAACTGTGTTTCAGGTCTCATTTTGTGCGTATGCAATATTTAGAAATAAGACCCCTCATACATCCATGACCTGCTTCCTTTATAGATATAAAAGATTTTTATTTTCAGGTGATTTTAAACAAATAAAAACAAAGTTATCAATATAATATAGCCTATCATATCTGCCAATAGATGACTCTAAATCCTACACAATGGACCCTTAATCTTGCATATAAGATTAAGATTAGGAGTTAAAATTTTGATTTTAAAATGTACATATGATTAATAGTGAGCCTACAGCTATCTCAAATTAAGACTGTGGGACAGGCTTTTGTTAACACTCTCTTGGGAGACCCTTGAAGTAGACTTTTGTCCTCAGTTAGCTACTGTGTGGGTTATATTGTTTAACAGCATTGAACACAGCGCCTTCTTGAACCCAGCTCGCCCCTTACACGTCATGACGCCGGGGCGTGGCCTGTCAGTTTTCCTCGGCAGCTCCACGCTTGTCTTTGACAGTGAGCTGAACCTTGCTAGCTGTCGCGCGCTGTAATTCCCCCAGCCATTCACACTAAGCAGCTAGCCGGGTCGGTGAGCTCATTTGACACGAGCAGTCAACCCCAGGGACGGTTAGCTTCAGCACGGGGCTCGCTTTTGTGTGTTAGCCGACACAAGGGACGCGACCAAGATGTCTAAGGACACGGAAGGGAAGAGCGAGAAGATTATGGATATGGAGAGCAAGGTGTTGTGGTACCCGGACTCCAAGAGGAACACACAGATGGACAAGTTCAGGATACAGGTCAACGGGGACTATGGACTTAATCTGGGTGAGTGGAGTGGAATGGAGAGGAGAGGAGGGAGGAAGACAGACGAGGAGCCAGACAGGGAAGCTAGTGAGCTTAATAGAAACCTATTGTGTCCCCTCCTGCTATCTGTAGATATGTTGTGTAATTACCTTACGTTACATTACAGATTCACCCCCGTCTAAAGGTGCTCAGCAGTGCAATGCTTCAATCTGTCTTTGTGTGCAATTTAAAGACACTATTAAAGAGACAGTGAATCAGCATAAACACATCCCTGCAGCTGCAGACTAATACGATTATTAGCAATTATAAATCACCACTCCCTTTGTGATAATAATCAGGTGTTTACAACACTGCAGCTCAGCTTGGCTCTCATGTCTGGATCACTCTCAGCTCCTCACTGAGGACAGCCTCTCTGCAGGGCTGCTGCCAGCCGATGGAAGAGAGCGGCCTATTTCATTTGTGTTTCTGACAGCGTGTAAATTTAAGCCATCAGGGTTGTGGGGGAATGCTAAAAACCTGATCCATCGGGCAGTGAATGGAGACACAGAGAAAGGGAGTTACGTAATTGGGGAGAGATGGGAAGGTATAGATCCATCAGAGTCAGTATCAGTATCAGATGTACTGTATTGATCCCCAGGGGAAATTATGATTGTCACAGTTGCTCCAATGTAAAGAATAGTGGATTATAAGAAGTAAGAATATGAAATAAAATCTGAAAATATAAAGCAATAAATAAAATAAAGTAGAAATGAAATGTGCAATAAAATAAGAATAAAATGTGCAGTATGCTTCAACACTAGTGCTTGGAAACATTCAAAAAAATTGTGGAAACATTTTTTGGAAATTTGTGAAATGGGCTGCATGATGAGCTGAAACAAAGCACTATAAAGCAATATAAATCAATTAAAAACTATACAAAAATATATTTTTGGCAGATACACAGATGAGGAAAGGTTGTGTTAGGGGAGTTTGTAACACTGGGTGGTACTTGGACTGTGCATAAACTGGGTTTATTTAATTGGGTGGTAAATAGACTGGGGATCATTGTATATTAGTTTTAAATAAATTTTGTAACTTGCTGAAATAATGTGTCAAAAAAAGAAATATAAGAAAGGGGTATGGACGTATAAGTTGCACTTCTACCTACTCCTTTTCAGGCACTGTTATCTTTGTCTTTTTTAATTATTTTTGGTTCAAAATAAAGTAATTCATTCATACTTAAGATATAGAAATTAAAATATTAAAATTATAAATATATCGTCACTGTGCCGAGGCTGTAAGTGTGAAAATTCAACCACAGTATAGACATCAGTAGAATAAAACAACAATAGAATTAGAGTAAACATGAGAAATATGTACAGATATGTGCACTGTATGTTGAATTGATATATACATTCAAGAGGTGAAAAATATTTCACAGATGAATAAGTGCAACAAATATTGTGGAAGTTGAATTACTGCACCTATGAGATGATTATGAATTATAAATGCAGTAGGTTAAAAAGTCCAAATGCCAGTCTATTGACTCAGAGCGGCTGACACTGTGAGGGAGGAGTTGTACAGGTTTGACTTCCTGTGGCGCTCTGTGGAGCATCATGGGGAAATGAATCTGTCACTAAATGTGCTCCTGTGTTTAACCAGCACATCATGGAGTGGGCGGGAGACATTGTCCAAGATGACAGGTATCTTAAACAGCATCCTGCTCTGTGACTCTTTTGCTCCACCTCCATGACATTACTGGCCTTGTGAATCAGTTTATTGAGTCTGTTGACGTCTGCTACCCTCAACCTGCTGCCCCAGCACACAACAGCAGCAACAGCTATGGCAGATGTGTGAAAAATTAATATGGCAGAAATGGATTTGAACATCTGTGTTATTTTTTTTCCCAGGCATATTACAGTATGTATTGGGTAGGTTAGCTATCAAAGCAGCTGACACAGGGGACAAGTTTTCCTTTAAATCAGTTAGTCAGGAGAGGTTGCAAGTTTGTTAAGCTTTAGTGTAGGGGTGGGGGAAAAGTCAATACAGCGTAGTATCGCAATATTTTTGTGTAGCAATATCGTATTGCCACACAGACACCAAGTACTTTTTTTTATTATATCCTCCTGAGACCCTGTGTCCTCATATGAGGACATCACATTTTGGGGTTACTTGACCTTATACTTCATTCTACTTAACTTAGACCTGTTGTCCTTGTTCGTGGACACTTTTTTGTGCCCTCTAGTGGTAGTAAGAGCACAATACACTAAATCATGTAAAAACAAGATGGCCGCCATCTCTGCCAAGTCGATCTGCGGCCGATCCCGACACAAAAGTCGCCAAGGTCCGAAACCTGATCACATTTTATGGTTGAAACCTTTTTATTTATGATTAATAATGTTTGTAGTTTGATATGACAACACATTTGACCAATTCTAGCAACAGTGACAACTAAAGACGCTGTTAATTAGGAAGTACTCATTTGAAGACACTGGGACTTTATTATCATTGACAGTGTTTAGTTTTTTATACTTATCAGGTCCTACTCATCCCAAATAGCTAGAAAGTAAAAATGCATACCACACAAAAGTTCAGGTGTCAGGAGGACATAAATTATTGATATTAAAAATACAAATTAAACATTACGTAGTCTGCTAGAATAATATAATTAGTTGCTTTTCCAGGTTAATAGATAGATTTTGCTGCAATAAAAATGACTGTAGTGAGATAAACAGGCTAACTATTTTATTTTATTTGATAAAACTGTTGATGCTGGAAAAGTTTTCCTTTGGGGACACAATTTGCCTCTGAAAAAAGGTTATAAATCGCAATATATTGCAATATATTTTATCACAATACTCAGCATATAGCAACACCACACATCGCAATAATATTGTATCGTGATAATATCGTATGGTGGGGCCTCTGGGGATTCCCACCCCTACTTAAGAGGTACTTCTACTGATCATTTCTCATGTTTAATCACCTGTTGCACCTTTTATATGATGTGTCTGAAAGTCACACCAGAAAGTTGTTGTACATCTGTAGTAATCATTGCTTCGTCATCCTCTAGTCAACTACAATGACCTGTACCAGTGGTCGGTGGACAACTACCCAGATTTCTGGGCAGAGGTGTGGCGCTTCTGTGGAGTCGTCAGCTCCAAAGCATATGAAGAGGTGAGTCTGCTGTATCCTGTAGGAGAATGACTATGATGGCAGCCTGAAATTTCATGGCCAGTTTCACTTTCACTGAACATATCATCAGACACATAAAAACAAAATAATTTTTGGGAGTAGCATATTGCCAGCAAATGACTTTTTCAGTTCTGAAGTGGTGTGCAGAGTAGAGAAACGTCTGATTAAGATTCACTGAATCGCTAACATTACACTTGTAGCTTTTTTTATGGTGGTAATTTTCAACTTTTCCCGTCTGGTGCATTCTTATGGTTCCTCCTTTACTGTCCCTTTATGTAACACTGATACAAAATACCACATTGATTTGCATACATATTATCTGTGTTGCCACATACCAACCCTTAAACTATCTGGAATAACTTGTTTGTGGTTACATGATGGAGTGCAACGCCTCGATAGGCTTTGTATCCACTGTGCGCATTAATTGTACATTATAGTTACGTCCTGTTGTCCTGCTCCTGTGGCTTTCCAGCCAACAAACACTTTGGTTCCTGATTGTAAATCCAGCTACCTATACCTTCTAATTCATGTGTGCTGTGATTTAGAATCTATAATAGTGAATGAGGCCCATTAAAGTGTAAATATTAGGAAATAACTTTATTGTTATGCCATGATTTGATGAGCAGTCTTTGTTGGTCATTATTTTTTATGGCACGGCTGTAATCTGATATGATTCATCCTTCAGGAGAAGTTAATTCAAAGCCGCTTTAACCTTTGTCAAGAAGCATTTTTGAATAAGAACATAAGAATTGCACTTATTTTATTAAGGCAACAGTAAAAGGCCATTTCGAAAATGGAGGTGATGCTGACTTTAAATGATCTTATTTTTTGTATTCATTGTTTATTGTACTCCAGGATATAGACAACTAGGTGGGCGTGTGAGGTAATAAATAGTGTCTGAACTTTAAGGCACTGTGCCATGTGGTTAACACACCCTGTTTGTACACGTAGCTAACACCTTCCACGTCACATATAATTTATTTTAGTGCACATTGTGTCACCCACTCAACCTGTTCTTGGATGGAAGACAGGGAAACAAACAACTACTCAATCAAATATATTGTAGTGAGCTCAGTTATTAAATCCCAGTGTTGCTATGGATTTTATGACAAATCATATGTCTTACTCTTTTTGTTTTAAGCTACACACAGTCACACAATCAGCTGTTGCAGTGGCACATGCTTGATTACTGTGTAAATTTGAGCGCTTTTATCTCGCAGTCCCATTTACGTACTTAATTCTGTGCCAGCAACAACAACCAAAGCATCAAAAGGTTTGGTCTCAGTCAATGACAATGCCGTGTCTCTCCGGTGTGTGCTCTCTGTGTGTGTTCTGTGGGTGTATCCTAGGTGGTGGACGTAACCAAACGGATCTCGGATGTTCCAGAGTGGTTTAAAGGAGCTCGGCTCAACTACGCTGAGAACTTGCTCAAACATGCTGACCAGGACAAAGTAGCTCTCTATGCTGCGAGTAAGTAAATAAAGGATGGCTGATTTAAAAACAATGCAGAAATGTATCCGACACAGTGCTGCACCTTGAATGTTGGCTTTAATGATCTCTATGGGAGATCAATAAAGCCAACAGTGTTAATTCCATGCATAGAGCAAAAAAATCAAGGAATATGGCACTCAATTTTTGTTTTATTCTGCTTCAGAAAACACATTTACACACTCAAATCACGCAGGGCAAGATGGAGGTTTCAGCCTCCCAGTTTACCTGCAGTTGCACATATTGTTTACTCTTTGTTTTTTTCTGCATCTTCACAGTTTATATTTTGAAAATAAACGAAGCAGAACGAAAGTTACAAAGACATCAAAGAACAGAGGTTGCATTCGTGGCGAGTGCAAGGCTGCATATGTCACCTTGTGAATAGCTTAACTGCTGCTCCCTCCTCTATCTCTGAGGACTGTCACATACTAATAGATAGGCCCTTTATCACGGCCCCATCTGTGTGTGCGCATGAGGGAGAGTGGGCTTGTGCGCATTCGAATCCATAGTGTGCGCACGACCTTCTGCAGGAGCTGTAATGTAATTATGAGAGGGCCCATTGGTCACGATGCCGTGGAGCCTCTTTCAATGTCAGTAAACTATTACTTAGGGAGACAAAGTGGACTGTTCCTGTCTGTGGCTCTGTTTTGCCACACTATCATTCTCTGTTTATGTCTGCCTCCCTGGTTTTCTTCTCATATGCTTTGGATTTTAATGTCAGGGGTTTGATTGGCATTTAAACCAAGTGGTACACCAACCATTTAAAATATATGGAAGTGTTTTGTTTAGATGTACATATTGATCTCTGTTTCTGTGTCTTACTTTCTCTTTGTGTCCACTAGCGGAGGCAAATGATGAGATTGTGAAGGTGACGTTTGGGGAGCTGAGGCGCGATGTGGCGCTGTTTGCTGCCGCCATGAGGAAGATGGGCGTCCAGACTGGAGACAGGGTCGTAGGTGAGTCTCACTGGTGGAAAATGAGAGACAGTATGGGGAAAATGGCATCTGCATTTTATATAACTTTCCTGTCAGCCAAGTGATGGTTGATTACCAACCACATTAGTTGGTAGATTAGTAGCTCTCCTCCTGACTTATTTCTTACCCCATCCTTTTTATCTTCCAGTGTTTTTCCTCTTCTTCCTTCTTCTTTATTTCAAACATGTTGCATCATGAGTTGAACATGGCCTCATCTGCTGTAACTCTGTGGGTGTGTTTGTGCTCACTGCTAAGGAGGCCTGGCTGTCTTGGCACAGGCTGCGTCTCTCTCTGAAAGTCACTATTTATTTTCTCAAAGTTCATATTTGTACAGGCAGGAATGGCTGAGGGTGCATATTTCTCCAAACAGCCCCACTGCACACTACATTCATCCAGAGCTACACATTTATATGTGCAAACTCAACAGTGTAAGCTGCCATTGTGGCTTTAAAGTAAGTCATATGTATTTCCCCACCTCAATTTGTGATCGGTACTTTTTAAAAAAAAAAAAAAAAACCAATTCAAGTGTCAAAGGCTTTTAAGAGCTTATCTGTTTTACCTGCTGAGCTTGTTGCCACATCACTGGCTGTGAAAATACACACTGTGCTGTTAGAGCTGCTCAGCTATCAGGAGTTTGGTTACTTTAAGGTTGTCAAACAAAAGTGTGTCAGACTGCTGAACTGAACCATTTGTTGACCAGACTCCTTGAAGAAAGGAAAAAGGATGTTTGGTGGCATTAAGAGGATTTTTTTTAATCTCAAAATACACACCCATGCATACATACACAGGGTTCAACGCTAAGGTTTTTTTTCACTTGCCCGGTCGGGCAGGTTGGTCAGAGATCTACTTGCCCGAAGTCAGTTTTTACTGGCCCTATAAAAATTGTTTAATTTAAGCGGCTATCAAATAACAAAGACTGCAGTTATTTTTATGTTATGTAATCTTTATTCACACTGTATTTATTAATTAAAACAACATACGTCATGTATTGTAGCTTAATTCCTACACAAAAATGACAGTGTCAGGGCTTAAAGTGAAAAATTTGTCAATCATTCTCCGTCTATAATTTTGCGCCCTACTTGAGCCATGCCCACCTCTATTTATTTTTCACCCCTCTCTCCAGTTCTGCTGTATTAACACCAGGTTTAATATATTTTGCTTCCAACTCTCTGCCCTGCTCTACTGTACTTCAACGCTACTTAGCTCTCTCTCTGCTCTACCAGTAGACTACCACATCCACCTGTTGCACAAAACGCACACAGCAGTGTTTCCCCTAGGATGGAGTTGTAGCAGCGGAGGTGAAGCACACGCATGAAAAATAATTTTCACATGCGTGAAACTTTTGTATGCTTGCAAAGCACAGCCTGCTGGGATGTTTCTATGTATCTACTGGCACCAGAAGGGCTCTTCAGGACTAAGTACATACAGTACATGTGTGCACAGTAATGAGCAGGTGAAATGTCTGCCTAGCTTACATATGAGGTGTCTCAAGATTTAGGAACATACAATTTTATTGAATATAATAAAGTAAAAAGTCACTTGATATGCTGCTGTTTTGGCTATGACCTGTTTAAGAGTTGGAAGTTGTTATTTACGTGACAACGCCTGAACGCAACACAAGCTCAGCATGAGTGCCATGCTGAGCTGCTGTGCGAGCAGCGTGTTTATCTGTGCGTAGCAGTCTGTTGGTTATTTACACACTATCCATTTCAATAACTTTGTCAGCTGACAAACTGCACCGGGCTCGGGGTCAGGTTTGGTCAGGAAAATGCAGCCCAAGCCGCTCTAGCGTGCTCACCTGTGTGTGTGGCGGAACTTCGCCGTGCACGATACAGAGAGCAGAGGAGAATTGTTAACGCGTGACCATGTAGAGACAGAATGACACGATGAATAGTATATTGTTACGTTATTATATGAAGTGTCTGTCGCACAAAATAATATCAATGGGGGCTGTGGGCAGGACATTGTTACACAGCTGTGCCTGTGACTTCAGGCAGAGAGACCGCTGCATCAGAGCCAAAGGAGCACGTTTTAAAATACATTTATTTTATCAATTAGTTATTAACTTTTACTATTTTTAGCAACTTGCCCAATCGGGCAAGTGAGTTGCTAGTTTACATGCCCGACCATGAGTTTTACTTGCCCCGGGCAATCAGGCAATCCTTATTGTTGAGCCCTGATACAGTCGATAACTATACAAGAGCAGATTGTTTTGTTCACCTACAATAAGGACTTCAACCCAGGGGCGTAAATATAGACAGTGCAGGCAGTGTGGTTGCGCTAGGGCCCATGGGAGGAGGGGGCCCATAGAGAGAGCAGGCCCTCAAACAGCATGTTTGAGAGAGTTGCGCTGATGATTGCTGCTAATATGTATGTCGATATTGTCCAATGTCATGTCATAGCTAGTTTAAATGCAAAATCTTGCACAAGGGCCCATCATAATAACGTGCACTGGACTGGGGCCCTTTCTAACTATCATACGCCACTGCTCTGACCCTTGTGTCAGTCAAAATCATGGGTGTCAGAAGCCTCCACAGTTTGCTGTTGGGTAAATTTGGTGTGAAATAGTGTGAGCATAAATCCAGTCTGATTACCGTTCACAGTGGGTCATGAATTTATGCTGCATCTGTGTTGCTTGTCGTACTGCAGACAGTTCCTTCGTCAATAGTAGCCGTTTACAAGAACCAAGAAAGTGTAATGCAATAAAGTGTGTCTTAGAATTTAGATTTTTCACGAAGCAGTTTGTTCATACACTGCCTGTACATTGTGTTAATTTAGGATACAGCAGTGTGTGTGATTGTCCAACTGCACTGAGTCTCATCCATCACTGTCTCTGTTTCATTCTCTGTTCTGTGCTACATTTCCAGCCGTGACGCTGCATTGTTTATTGAGCTGTTTGTGCTGTGTCAGTATCAGGGGCTTCAGTTTCACAGCTGTGAAGCCCCTGTATCAGGGGCTTCAGTTTCACAGCTGTTGTCAAATAGTAGCATCAGATGCCCAAAGTTTTCACTCTTTGAAACAGCTTCTGTTTCTGCTCAAGTTGGATTCAACACATCCCATACAAGCCTTTTTATGACAAACTTTTTTGTGTGTGGATAAAGATGACAAAGAGCAGGCACAATAATTCAGAGGTTACTAAAAATGCTTGTGGATTCTTTTTAATTTGAGCTAGAGAAAATTGATGAGGAAAAGGACATTTTAATTCCCATGCCTATACACATTCAAAAAGTTTCCTGCTTTATTTTGAAGCAGCAATGTGGCTGAAATCTATGGCTGCTGTTCATGAGCTCATATTGAGCTACTTTGTGCAGGAACAACCACTGTGTGTAAAGTTTCAGTGTGTGTGTGTGGGCTCAGAGGAAAGATGGATATTGCGGTAGGGAATTCCATTAGCTAAATGACTTAAGCTCTGTGGGAATCTCATTACAAAGACTGGTGGGATGGACAGAAATGGAGAGGGAGTTACAGAAACACAGATAGAGAGACACCAGCTACTTTGTGCCTCCCTTCTCCAGTCTCCCTATTCCTTTGACGTATCGAACACAAATCTGCGTGTGTGTGTTTTGAATGTGTTGGCTCGCTGTTGTGCCCTAGAGACGGAGATGTCCTTGTCCCCAGGTTGTTACTGGAATGTCTTGTCAGTGTCTCTAATCCAGGAGATATATGAGCACTTAGCTGATGAGGCCAACCAAGCTTTATGGCAGGAAAAGAGCCAACCCAGCACACACACACTCACACATACACATGTCCCCTTTGTACGCTTTTAGATCCATTGCTCATCTCCTTGGTCCTCATCATCTTGAACATCACCCTCCACCCTGTTATGAAGCTTGTTTGTAGCCTACACACCCACTGTTCCTCCACTGGGAATGCATGTTTTTATATTATGTGTCATTATAAACACACATTGTGCAACCACAGTCTGTAACTGTTGAGTAATAAGTATGTGGAGTCAACAGTATAAAACAGAACTGTAGCAGCATTATAAAGTAAAATAATATCTTAACAAACGAAACAAATATGATTTCCATTTTAGAAATTGCACCACTGGTGTTTCAACACAAGCTGAACAGTTGAAACTTAAGGCGATTGTTCACCAGCAGGACACATTTTGCTGTCGCACACACTTCCCGTACATTGAATAGATGTAGAATTAAGCAGAAAGCCATGGGAGGCTGAGGTTGGCAGTGGTTTTTAGAACGACCAAGGGGCATTGTTAGGCACAATGCAGAGTGTTATCAAGTGGCTTATTGTTTTTAGAAAATGGTTACCACATTTACCTGGCAGTATTTCATAATATAAAAAAACAGCAACAAAAAATTCAATCATTGCTTGATAACAAATAATCGTTCATCCATCAAGCGATGTTCTCTTTGGATGATTGCCAAACTTCATATACATGCAGTGAAAATTGCTGGCTGCTTTACAAATTTATGGAGCCAAAGAAGTTCACCCCCCTGGGCTTTAACACACATTGAGCATGGCCTAAGTTCAAGCAGGACACAATGTCGTGCTCAGCTCACATCCCTGCTACATCTCAAACAGTTAATCAACTGATGGAGCAGCTGATTGATGGAAAGGAGTCAGCTGATAGATCACATGATTCCTGTCTATGCAACCAATTGGTGAATCTCATTCAGGGTGCCCTATATAAACTGCTTTGGCCTGTCTACTGTTGCTGCTTCCTCTGCAGGCTGCTTTCCAACCTGCCTCCACCCCAGCTCCTCCTTTTCATGCTGTGTCTGACTTATCAATGTCATTTCTAATTGTCGCTGATGCTAACTCAGTTCTGTGCGTGGGGGGGGGGTCTTTGCTGCTGCTGTAGGTGCATGGAAGGGCAGGGAGGTTTACTTTCTTTATCTCAGGCTTTCCTCGTTTGCACATGGAAGGGCAGGGAGGTGTGCTTTCTCTCCCCGAAGGATTTCCACATACGCGTGTAGAAGAGACTTTCTGTGTAGGTCTTAGGAAAGGCAGAGGCCCCAGAACAGAGCCATACCACCAAATAAATACTGTTAATGGAAATAAAGTTTTCTTTGACTAAAGTGGTCCTGACTGAACTCAAGGTTAGTTCTTGTCATGCTGAACTTACATTATAACCACATATCAATCACAGTCGGCAACGTTTATGCTCACTCTCCCTGAGCTGTTGTCACTTGTGGGGCTACACTGTTAACAAAAATGATACTGTGAACAATGGACAACACATAGCTAATGATAAGTTAGCAGGTAGGTTACAAATAAAGACCTGCAAGCTAGCTAAAGTTACATTGGTAACTTATTGTATATCGCTAGTGTAGTTTGTCTGCTTTGGTTGGAGATTAAAGGCTAGTGGATTGGGCAGCAGAAATGTCAGGTGTTTCTCCATCAAAGCAACAGGACATAGTATATTCCCTGGTTCCTCAAACATCAATCCCCGTAGGCTCACCTTGGTTCTTTTTTAGTGTATTTGTGTTTTATTTTTAAACATTATTAAATGAAAAGGTTTTAAAAAGCGTTAAACGTAAGTGTCTGATACATGGAGACGCCATGTGTATGTATTTTTAAATGTGGCCATGGTAGCAGGAAACAATGTCATTCAAATCATTATTGTCAGTATCAATCACAGTTGCTTTTAGGACAGGATGTACTTCACTGACATTTAAAAGACAACCTCAGCCGACTCCACCCAGGGTTTTTTTCAGGTGACTAAGAAACGGTAGTGACAACAATCTTATCAGGTTATACTGCAACACCTCATCGCTGAACTTGGACCAGGATCAAGACTGAAATACCAGATAAGCTGCTGGGATTGTCAGTTGTAGCCGTGTTGGCTCAACATTGCTACCATTGGTGGTATAACTCTAGTTAAGACACTTGTTAAGTCTGTTCTCCTCTCCTCAACTTTCCTGACTTAATTCTTGTAGTATTACCAAACCAACTAGATGGTGGTCATGTGTCAACAAAATGCCCATAAGGGAAGCGAAGTAGAAAACAATGCATGATCTGGTAAAAAAAAAAAATAGCATTGCATTAGTTTTATGAGGAAGAAAAGGCACACAAAGATAAACATTATATGTTTTGGTGACGAACACTGACGATAAACATAAATATTTGTAATGAAACTCCACAGGGCATCTTTAAAAAGTTTTTGTGCAACATCTTAATTGATTTTATAATCGTTTAAACAGCTTGGTACAATTAAAGTTTACCACAGAGCAGCTTCCCAGTGGTTAAGGGCTTTCCCTCGGGGCGCGTTCACAAAAATTGTCAAGGAAGGATTCACGTCACACAAGTTTTTTTCTCAGCTGATTTGGAACCAAAGGTCCAGAGGTCATACTCTTATTTCTGTAACCATTTATCCAGTTAGTGCTCAAGCAGAAATTTTAATTGGACGAATCCAACAATGTCATTTTTCTACATCTTCTTGTACTTTTTAAGTCCTTGAAATTAATAACTGATTCTTAAATTATAGGATAAGAAAACAGTAGCCAAATGTAGGAACCATAGCCCTGTGGTGATGCATTTTATTATGAAACCATGAAGAAGTGGTGTCACACCAAAGTATCTGTTCGTTTCCTGAAGGGCAAGTTAATTTCCATTCAGTGGTTATCAGCAACCCGGAAACCTGAAGTTTTATAGCAGTATGCATGATTAATCAGATAGGAACGGCAGTGTGTTGCTTTGCCGTGTATGTTGTTACACGTCATTCATAACAGCAGCCACGGAGGCAGTCGGGCAAGGTGTTGTAGTAAGATTATGATCCATGACACTATTTGTCTTGGTCCACTGTGAGAGGATAATAATTTGAGGGCGCCTGCAGAGCCAGAGTGGCAGGATGGTGATCTGTCAGCCTGAGATGTCATCCAGCCGGCATCAGCTTCCTGGTTACGACAGGAGTCAGCATAGAAACCAATAAAACCCTGATTAGTCATGATTTATAGGAGGTGACAGTATGGTTGACGTGTGCCTGTGACCAGTCAAGGTGCTCTGCTGGAGCCAGCGGCTGTGTTATTGTTGTATCATCTTAGATTAGATTCACGTTATCAACCAAACAGCCCAGGGCTCATGTGTTGAGCCTGGTTAACCCATTGTTTTTACTTCATGTCATTTATTTTAGCCATGATAGACTATTTTCTCCTTTCCCATTTGAATACCATTTATTTCATTTGGTGCAACTTTGACATCAGGCATTTGAGATGAAAAGTATAGTAAGCAAATTCTCTGAATACCAGGAACAGAACAGTCTTTCCTGGCTGAAATTAACATGCAAATGCATGATCAGATTTCAATGTTGTGCATCTGTATTCTGTATTCTTCATTTTTCCATGGTGCAGTTGCCAATATCTCTCCCTCTCCTTACATCTGATTGACTTTGCCCATGTGAAAAGACTTGCGTTGTCCTTGGGCCCCATTTCCTATATTGATCCAGGAATATATCACAGTAAGACAGCGGTTATGATCTCAGCCCTGCTTGTTAAGAATGAAATATTCTCACTGCCCTGGTTGGTATGCATCACCTCTTTCCCTCCTGCCCTCTTTTTACATTCTCATTTTTTTCCCCCTCTATCCTCCTTTTATCCAAATTGTTTTTGCTCAGTATCTTCTATCTCTCCCTCCTCCCCCCTATTCCCTTTGTATACTTCCACTATTCTCTCAGTGGGGTAACCTACTGTGTGTTATAAGACAGAGACTACATGACTAATCCAGCTGCTCTCATTTTACTGCTGCCAGATATCACATAACCTAAATGACTTAAAGGTCCCATATAATACTCATTTTCAAGTCCATGCTTTAATACTTACACCGTATTTTGGTTTCTACTAGAGCATGTTTACATGTGTTAATATTAAAATATACATATATATATATATATTTTCCCATACAGTCTGCCTGATTATAGCTGTATTCACTCTCTGTCTGAGATGCTCCATTTTATCGCCTGTCTCTTTAAGCCCCCCTCCCAAAAAAGCCCATTGTTTCCACTCTTCCACATCTTTGTTCTCGGCGTCTCTGTGCCGTCATTGTAGCCAGATTATGACTGTTATGGCACTGTAGCTGCAGTTTCTACCCTTATATAGTTAAGTTGTGACATCACAACTCCATGGAAGTCCTGACAGCTCACTTGAAGGCACAGTCTCTAAATGCAGACTGTGTGCATTTCTCTGTGGATTGAATGTTTTGATTCTTTAACACTGTGTAGCACCTTTACCTTTGTAATAAAAAAAGACTTGGAAATTTAACTTTTTATAATGTGGGACCTTTAAAATCAAACAAACAATGGAATAATTCCTGATAGTTCTTAATTCTTGGCATTTCTTCTGCTATAATGTGTTTTATTTCTGTACATTCTGAATAAACCATATTTTTCTGTGCTGTATTTTATCCTACAAGTCAAGATTCTTGGCACATATGATGCCATCATATTCATAATGCCAGATCACTGCTTAAACTTAATGTTTTCCTCCTCTCTCCCCCTTTAGGCTACCTGCCCAATGGTATCCATGCATTGGAGGCTATGTTAGCAGCAGCCAGCATCGGAGCCATTTGGAGCTCCACGTCTGTCGACTTTGGAGTCAACGTAAGGATTGGGTTACACTGTTTCTGGCCCATATTTCTGTATTTACATATGTTTAATTTATAGGTTTTTCTTCCATTTTGGCTGATGTACCATCAGCACTTTATTTTATCATTGTATTTAAGTGGTGGAAGTGTTTTTAAATGTTAAGATTTAGTTCAAATGCATGTGTCTGGGAAGTATTGAGTATACGACTGGACACATGAGACTTGGATTCGAGTTGTGTGAGAGTATGTAAACTGATTTTTTGGTATAGTTTGGCTGTTGTTAAACACGGACCCCTATGACTTTAATTCAGCAGAAATTTTCTCAGTTTTTTGAGTCTTCTTTTACCGTGATGGCATGCGAGAAAAAATTGGTTTTCTTTGCAAATTAAATGTAACGTGGAGTGAGTTATTGATATACAAATGATCATTTTCTGGGTGTACTATTCCTTTAATCTCAAGTTTATTTTCCACCGATACATAAACTAAACCAAATCTACTGAATCTGCTGGTTTAGAGTCACATTGCATGTCTTTTTTGTGGACTCTAAAGCACCTGTCAGTGCTAGAAAAGCACACATTTTGAGTACTAGTGTCAGAGCGGCTTTATCTCTTAATCCTGGCAGAGCTCATGCCTCCATCTACAATGCTGAGCTGTACTGGGTCAGTGGGCTTTAACCTATTCTTATAGATGATACATGACTGTGGCAGAACAGACTCACTTATGCACATAAAAAAGGCATAAAGAGGAGAAGGAGAGTTACATCTGGCAGTCAAAAATGTGTGGAAAAATGAGTGAGTGAGAGTGTAAATAACTTCATCCTACAGCAGCTCTGTCCTCAATGGTGCTCTTGTCTTCCTGGTCTCTGCTCTTGTTTCTGGTGTGCTGCTTCCCCCTCTGGCAGACCAGAGAACTACACTTACAATAAGAAAGTGTTTTCACCCTTAGTGGGAAATTATTTGACTATATTTTTATTGTTCATGCATTAAATTGTTAGACATTTACAATGTAGAGAGTTAATTTGCAGGTCTTCATTAAATTCCTCACACATCTTCTCCATCTGAATCACATTGTTCTCAGTCATTGCTCCTTCATTCTCTGCTTACACTTACATGCTCCTGCTCTCTAATGGTGTCTGTACTTCAGGAGAAATTATGTTGAATGCAAGATTAAGTAGTTGAATTCAAGGCATACGTTTACAGCTCTTACCGCAGTAATTGATGGATTTCATTTTGCTGTTCTTACTCCAGTGTTCTCAGTTTCCATTTTCACCCTCTCTGTCTCTTTTTTTTGTTACAGGGTGTTCTTGACAGGTTTTCTCAAATCCAGCCCAAGCTGATCTTCTCTGTTGCTGCTGTGGTTTACAACGGCAAAACACATGACCACATGGAAAAGCTGACTAGTGTTGTCAAAGGTTGGCTCCCACAAAATCTCTGATTATGTATTTTTACATGTTTTTGGTTTGATTGTCTGCTGTTACCCCAAGATTACCATCAATCCATTACAGACAATGACGAATACATTAGACCTCTTCAACTAATGGGCAGTAAAACTTGCTAAAATTACACTTCACAGTAACTGAAACTTATGACTTTTGGCTAACAAGTAGACAGAGCCATTAAAGGTCCAGTGTGTTACCAGGTTGTACCGCCATGTTTCTACAGTAGCCCAGAATGGACAAACCAACACTGGCTCTAGGTAGAGCCACTTGCATTTTTGCATTTCTGTTTTAGCCACCATAGTTAGCCCCCCCCAATGATGAGAGAAAACGCTACTTTTCTGTGTGGGCCGGTTTAAATCACCTGGTCCGGTTGTTTTGGAGAGGAGGAGACCTCTGTGGATGATTCGGCTCCTGTTAAAATCCTCCTGAATGTCTGGAGAGAAAAATGGTGAGCATGCACTAGTAGGTGCTGGGCTAGTGACCCGTCTCTGACATGAAAAACAGCGTTGGAGAAACGGTTATTTGTAACGTAAAAACTGCTTTAATCTATGTTTTTATTGGTTATAATCACCTGGGGTCTCATTTATGAAACAATGCATAGGATCCATACTAAAAATGTACATACAGACAAAAGCCAAAAAATATTGGACAGTTTCGATGGTCAGGTTTCCACCTCACCATCTGCATCGCTAATTGCCTATCTCCAAAATGTTCGGAAGCATTGGTCAAAGTTTCTCCCATCAAGTCTGTTTTTATAGACCACAACTTTTTGCGTGGGAAGTGGCGCACGCCTCTTCCAGGCCTTGTTTTGTGCGCACGCAGTGTTTATAAATTAGACCCCTGGTTGCTTGTTTTGGAGAGGAAGAGACCTCTGCAGATAATTTAGTTCCCAGTAAAAACCTCCTGAACAATGAACCCTGAAGGATTCTACTTGTAGTTTCAGGTGGTTGCAATCTCGATGCTAGATGCCGCTAAACCCCCCCCAAAAACCTTACACACTGGACCTTTAAAGGGTAAAAGCAGTAGTGTAGAATAAAGTAGCTCAACTTGGCTTTACACTTCAAAATTAAACTGTCTAAAGAACAAATGGATAACTACAGAACGTAATGCATTCACTAGAAAAAAAAACTCTGCTCTGTTTTTCCGTATTAACAATATTATTATCTCAGAATTTGAGTCACAATTTCATGAAAAAATTCTGCTCGTTTTTCTGAAGTAGAAAAAAAACATGTGAATTCACGAGATTATTATCTTGTTAATTCAGAAAAACGAGCAGATATTATCCCATGAAAACTTTACTCATAATTCTGAGCTATTAATGCCATTAATTCAGAAAAAGTGGATGTGTTACGCTGTTGTACATAACACATGCTGGAGTATGAGGTAAGATTTCCTCACCTGCCAAGAACCAAAATGTGTTACATGTTAATGGGAATAACACTGTGATTCCTTTGGGAACCCTCTTTGCTTTCATAAGGTTATAGTGTGAAAAACAAACAAAGCCTCACACTCTCCCTGTCTCTCTGTAGGTCTGCCTGACCTGCAGAAAATAGTGGTGATTCCCTACGCTCGCTCCAAACACGAGACCGACCTCTCCAACATCCCCAACAGGTGTGTGACTGTGCATGCAACTACACTCAAGTGTTAAAACTGAGAAACTGGAACAGATGGTTTCTTTTGTATGACAGAGAGCAGGTTAGACATACACTCTGTTTCCCATATGTTATTTTTCTCACTGTGTTTTTTTGTTTGATATCTGCAGTGTATTTATAGATGATTTTTTGGCATCTGGTCGTGGTGAGGGCGACCAGTTTCCTCAGCTGGAGTTCGAGCAGCTTCCATTCAATCATCCTCTGTTCATCATGTACTCCTCTGGCACCACAGGAGCTCCTAAATGTATGGTCCACTCCGCTGGGGTAAGAATAACATTGGCTTCCTATTAGCCTAAAAATCATAAATATGGATCACTCTCCCTCTGTTTGTTTGCGGAGCGGGCACAAACACAATTTCTCAAACACACTGCCGATAATTTTGCAAATAACGGGAGGAATGTTGCATCTCTCTGACTGACTCGTGGGTCGTCCTGTATTCTTGTTTGTGCTTGTTTAACATATAATTGATTTTATTATGTAAAAGATGTGGAGTAAGGGGCACGTCTGTCAGTCAAAACAAGACACTTTTGTTGCTGTTTTCGTTGCTAATTTTTTTGTGAGTGCTCCACAAGGCTTAGATGTACCGCAGCTGTCTCACAAACACACACACACATTAGCACACAGTGGTCGCATCTGTTTGCAGAGCTCTCCTGGGTTGCCCCACATGTACAGTTTGCTATTCAGTGCACGCCATTTTTATCAATACACATGTGAACACTTTGAAGAGAAGCCGGTGCTTCCAATAGGAGAAAGACAAGAAAAGAAAGAGGATTAAAAAGCAATTGAAGTTGTTGAGTAAAACCTAAATTCTCCATTTATTAGCTGTACCGGAGCTTTTGATCATATCACATGATCTTGATCAGCAGACAGTTCGCCAACTTTTAAGGAATAGTAAATGATTCAGGTTTAGATTTAGATTTAAAGTTAGTTCCTGACCTTTGAAATGGTGGTTGGGAAAAAATAACTTTGACCAAAAGGACCATTTAGTAGCTTTTCTGGAGCTTTTGATCATGAATATATGATCTCTCAATTCTAAAGGCCCATTGAAGCTCTCACTGTCTCAATATTTGAGCTGTCAAAAAGACACACTGAGAGCAAAACCACTGTTTCATGGTGTAATCTTCCACAACATGAAAACTGTCTGATGTGGTGACAGCCACTGTGGGTGTCCCCTTTGTGCCTTTATCCACATTCTGTCAATCTTCTATATTACACTTCTTTTAAAGAGAATTTAATGTCATAGATCAAATAATGCTTAAATTCATAGGTGTCGGGCCCCATGTACAAAGGCCGTTTCCATGCTGCAGTGGGCGCAGGCTGGATTTCAAACCACAGCCCTTTGCTGCATGTCACCCCCGCTCTCTCTTCCCCTTTCACACTATATCTGTCAAACAATAAAAGGCAAGAAAAAATGCCTAATGGACAGTAGAAACATGCCCCAGCACTTTTTGAAATATCTGATTATGTCCCTGTTGCTTTTGAAAAGTGTAATTTGTGAGAAATGTTCTGAAAGGTAGCTTAAACCAAGAAATGTTAACCAACAAATGAGAAAGGTTTTTGTGCACAACAAGAAAACATACAATACACTTTAAATATAGAAGAAACAAATGTGCATTGTGCAAAAAAAGTAGCATAAGCTAAAAAGAAAATCCTCCCTTGCGCACTTAAAAACAAAAAACAAAAAAAAAACTGTCTCCCCTTCTCCACATAACATCATACCTCATATAATACAGCTCTACTGTTGTGACAAAGACAGTGAAGAAGGAACACAACATATACACCTGCACCTTTTGATCATTCCTCAACCCTGACCTTCCCCGTCCCCATGAGTCTTTTTCTAAATTCTAGTAAACATGTATAAAGTTCCTCAAACATGCACTATAGATTAAAAATGATGACAAAATACAAATTGATACCGTTGTTCTATCCAAGTTGAGTACCTCCTTCCTGGCCTCTAGCATGATGTAACCTGCCCCCCTCATCCTAGCAACAGAGAGCTCCACAGATTACTTGAGTAACTTTTAACAGATTGTTGACACAGTTTCTTCTTGTCCAAGTTTTGCACTCTCTCTGTGATCACGACCACACTATACAAGCTATTAAAATTCAGATGTTTACCAGTTACATCAATTAATGTGTCGTTGACATGAATAGGTGCCCCATGCACATTTAAAGAGGTCACTTCCCCAAACAAAAGACACTAAATCATGCCTACATGTGAGTTGACTCAGCAGGAATAACATTAAATTATTATTAAATTAAATTTATGATATGAAGTGTCTGACACTCAAATTTTCCTGGCAGAGGAGTCCCAGACCGCCTGCCAGCTTCACATGTGTATCCCCCATAATATTGAAATTAAACCCACACCCTTTAACAGAAGGAAGGCTGGGTTGTGCCCTTGTGATGCACTGTAACTATCCACTCAGACCTCATATTGATTCCCCATTACATTGCCAAAAATCACATGTTGAAGACTGTTAGCATTTGTTTTCATCTGAGGCCTTATGTCACCACTGTCCAACACAAAGGGTGTGTTCTGAATCGCATATGTTTTCGTTTTTACTTTAAGTAGGTGCTTCAGCTGCCCTTAAAAAGTATGCGCTGTTGTATGCACACAATCAGGACATTCTACTTTCTCATTACATTACATTACGCCCTGAACTTTGACTCTCCTGCTTTTATACCCATTACCTTGGAGATAGAAGAAAAACGCCACTTACTGAGTTTGCCAGAGGCTGAGATCAACCCTGAGAGCTCTGCTATTGTTAGTTTTCTATGTATATAGTTTAACTTTTAAGTTATAACTGCACAGATTGTAGATTTTTAACATATTATATTTGCGACGGTAAAATTACATCTGCAGTCCTCTGTCCTCTCAGCTGTCAATCAGCTGTCATCTGTTTGCAGGTCAGTCGATTTGACATATCGTTCACTGTGCAGAGAATTCTGAGTTAGAAAAGCAAGAAAAGCATACTGCAAAATCAGACCGGATGTAGTAGAACATCCTGGTATTTTACTGTCTTAGACATACAATGTATTAGGACATACTAAATCTTTTTTTGGCATACTATATAGTGTGTTAGTATGGGCACTGGAAAGCACAGAAAGTGACACTCTTGCCCAAATTTAAGTCACTCTTCCCCAGCTTCACAGTAGTATTAACTGTATGCCTGTGTCATTTGGGTTTGTGTTATATTTTCCACCACAAGATGGCAGCAAACCTCCATCACCAGCTCTTTGAAAGGCTATCCGCTCTCAGGAGAGTGTGTGAATGACATTTTTCTTTCCTGCTAAATACCCCATCTGAGTGAGGGAGAGTGTCAGATGAATGTGTGATTTCAAAAGCACCACTGCACTTTGAAGGCTGAAACACTCAACATTCAAAACAGGTTAACACACTCAAACAAATGCATTCACACATTTTCACAAAGTGTTCTCCCTCTCTGAAACGCATCTATTTTGCTGTCTCCATTTTTCTGTTTCTTGCTTTATTCTCCTGCGTTCTCTCCCATTCGCTTTTCTATCCCTAACTTGCCTGCATCTTCAATTTTTTTCCACTTATTCCTCCATTTCAGACTCTCATTAGGGTCCCCCCCCACCCTTATTTCCTCAAGCTCCCTTTTCTTCATTTCTATTATTGTCTTCCTCTCTGTCTCTTTCTTTCATGCCCCCTCCTTCTCCCCATGCTGCCGATAATTGGACAGTAATGCGTTGGTGAAAACATTTCGTATTGCGACGCTGGCAGGCCTCTCTGGCTCTACCAATTAGCCCCGGCACTGTTGCGCTTTCTGCTTTGTTACGGCTCTATTAACATGCTGTCAGTAGCAAGATGGCATGCACCAAAGGACGGGTATGGCAGCTGAGTCCTGCCAAAGATTATACACACACACACAGAAACATACACACACACACACACAGCACCTGTTTATACAAACAGGAACGTACACATAGGCTCAAAACTAAACCACACACACTCACACAGTTCATGCTCGCCACCAGCAATAATAACCCATCCAGTTGTGATGGGTTGGTGACTGTGGGAGCACTTAACACAAATTGCCCTTTTTATCAAAAGAAGTGCTTGTGTGTGCTGTGTGTATTCATCTGGGGTTTATGAACTTTTGCCTGAAAATATATTGTGAGAATTTGAGGATACAGTATGTTAAAGGGACAGCTCACCCCCAAATCAAAAATGCTGATTTTCCCTCTTAACTATGGAGCTACTTATCTCTCTGGATTGTTTTGGTGTGAGCTTCAGAGATATCGGCCTTAGACGTGTCTGCCTTCTCTTGAATAAAATGGAACTTGATGGCACTTGGCTTGTGCTGCGTAAAGCACCAAAAAAATACATTTGAAAAACTCAACAGCAATGTCTCTTTCCAGAGACAGTACCTCTTTACGAGCACAAGCCTCTCATCCGTCAGTAGATACACACTTCCTTCTGCACGGTGATGCAGCTGGCAGGTGTAGTTTGGTAGAAAGAAAATAGTTCCTTCATAAACTGCTCACAACAAGGTCTGTGGATTATCTTGAGTAACCAGGTCATGATTTCTGAAAACAGGCATTGCTGTTGGGTTTTAAACTCACAAGCTGAGTGCCATTTAGTTCCATTATATTAAAGGGAAGGCGGCCGATTTTTCCCACACTTGCGACTCACACCAAAACAGTCTAGACTGATATATAGCACTACAGGTAAGAGGAAACGTATGTATTTTTGATTTAGGTTTGAACTGTCCCTTTAATTATAGCCTGTAATATGCAGATAAACAACATCCAGAGAGGTAACAATCACCAAATGTCAATGTCATAAGCAAAAGTATGAGCAAAAACCTTAAAGGGACTCTATGGGGAATTGAGTATGAGTTTTCTGGAAATGGTTCTCAAGATGGAGGTGGCTGAGCTGGTGGCTAGCAGCTAACGGTGCTAACTCCTTAAACAGCACTTAACTACAGCAACAGTGCTGACCACTAACCAGGGAGTAACTGGGGGATGGGTGCTACCCTTCTGCGACAACAATATCAGCGGTAACTGCTGAATGAGCGCAGTGCAAAGCGGCAGCGATGAGCTCGGCACTGGGATACACATGCATGTGGGCTGGACCGGCTAACTATAACAAACCACAGAGAAGCTGGGATAACAACACACACAGAGGCAGTGTGACTTCATCCTCTGCTCAGCACGAAGTCACACAGAGGCAGTGTGACTTCATCCTCTGCTCAGCACACCGTTACTCCACTATATATTTATGTAATAAATAGTTGTTTGCTGTTATATTAATGCTCTGACTTTCTCTTTGTTTCTGTAGGGCACGCTCATCCAACACTTGAAAGAACACATCCTCCATGGCAATATGACCAGCAGTGATGTCATCATTTACTACACCACGGTATGTCCACAAGCTTTTCACAATAAAACTGACGTGCTTATTTTAACCACAATGCGTTAGATGTGGGGAACTGTCCACTGCTCTGTTGTTGTCTCCTCTCAGTTACCAGCAGAGGTAGAATGTTAAGTATTTGTGTTGTGGGCTATCTTTAATTACGAGCCTGGTCACAGACACACACGCACACATGTGCATGCACAGACAAACAGATCTTGTCTAATGAGCAGCAGTGAGTGCTGAAGGTCAGAGCTGTGCATAATTTTTAGTTGTTCCTTGAAGAATCTGGCTCCTTGTGATGATAAACACTGAGAAACATCATTTTATGTTGATTAAAGCTGCAATTGCTGTGTGTGTTTGTGTGTTTACACATGATTAGTGCAACATTCAAGGGTGGTTTGGATGTTTTGACACATGCATGCTGTTGGGAACAAATAAATGGGAGCATATTTTCTTGATTCAGAAACTGATTCTCTTAAGCATTGGTATCGCACAATGGTGCGAGTTTTGAAATTATTGCAGTTAAGTGACCCCAAGCTGAAAAATATAATTGGCGCACTTTCATCTGTTTAGTTAATCTGTATCTGCCTATTTAGTAGAGATGGGACAAAGTCAGTGTTTTGCAAGTCTAAAGTAAGTTTTAATTCTTTGCACTCAGGTCCCAAGTCAAGACTATTCTATTCTTTAAGTTTCAAGTCCCTAACAAGACATAATTTGCTCTTTATCAAATGTAATGACATTTTAACAACAGAGTAATGACATAAGCTAAATGTTAGCTCGCTAACTGTGTTAATATTAGCCTGGACTTGCTCTTCTTTGTGGAATTTCAAATGTCAAATGAAGTTGGAAGTTGTTCCAACGCCATCTATAATTTTTGACCTGCATGTTTTGCATACCAGAATTTTTTTTTTTTTTTTTTTGGAACCACTGCTTAGTTTTTGTACCCAAATGAAATTATCTTGTGTATCATTTTTTCCAACTGGCGCCCAGAAATGTTAGGATCATGGTTCTCTTCATGGTCCCACCCCAGGGTCCAGATTTCTCCTTTCTCCTCGAGGTCCACACAGTTTAATACATTCAGCATTGTACTTTCGTTTGGCTGTGTTGTCGAGCTAGCTTGCTGTTACTGTCAAGTAGCTGTCTGTTATTCACTTTACAGCAGGAAACGGCACTTCAAAATAAAAACTCTGTGCCGGAAATTCACCGTACTTATAAATAAAGTGTGTTTTTTCCAAACTTGACATTGTGAGTCACAGACCCACTTTTGGACCGTGACCCACCAGTTGGGAACCACTGATCTAATCAAGTATTTCAAAGTCAAAAGGCTCAAATCTAAGTGAAGGCATTAATCATTGGTGTTAAAGTCCAGGTCCACATGTAAGTCTTTGTAGATTTTGTCAAGTCAGGTCTAAAGTCATAAAATTTATGACTCATGAAAGTATGACTCAACTCCAAGTGATGTGATTTGAGTCCACACCTCTACTATTTATAGCTGAGGAAATTTCAGCTGCAGATACTTATTATTTTAATTATAAGTTCATCTGTTGTTTTTATTTGTTAATCTAATTAGTAGTTTTTTCCCATTAAAGCCAGAAAATTTGAAATACACCCACCACAGGTTTTCACAACTCATAATGATGTTTGTTTGTTTTTTTCGTTTGGGCAACCAACAGTCCAACCTAAATGCATTAAACTGACAATGATATAAATGAAAGAAAGGCAGATTTTTGGAGCTTTTTTGAAGCAGTGATTAATTGATTCTGAAAACTGTAGCCCAGTTTTCTGTCACTCAACAAATTGATTACGTGACTAATAATTTCACTGCTAATTATAACTGTTTAAGTGCCTCATACTGTATATACAAAGTGTATCTTGTATTAGCTCTGCAGTCAGATGTCTGCAGACCTAGCATTACCACCAATATGTGTATGCTTTAGGGATGCTGCCAAAGCTGCAGCTCAGCATGCAGTAAAAACAGAAACACTATTATGTGAACCACAGATACATAACTCACAGTCTGCAGGAGTTTTGTCCGTTTTGCTACCCATTTATCCATGTTGATGAGAGAGGAGTGTTTATACCAGATAAACTGACTTCTGTTTTTGTGTGTGTGTGTGTGTGTGTGTGTGTGTGTGTGTGTGTGTGTGTGTGTGTGTGTGTGTGTGCGTGCGTGCGTGCGCTGTCCTTAGACCGGCTGGATGATGTGGAACTGGCTGGTGTCTGCTCTGGCAGTGGGAGCCTCAGTGGTTTTATATGACGGTTCACCACTAATGCCCACACCCAATGTACTGTGGAACCTGACAGACCAGCTGGGGTGAGTTAGCCACATATGCAAACACACACACACACACACACACACACACACACACTCAAACAAGCAGGAGAGACAAACTGGAGTGTGCTGTGTTTTGCTTTCTGTTGGAAGTGGTATTTTAAAGCCCAAAATTAAAACTGTCCTTTGAAAATGTACTTTTGCAATGAAGGTACTGTTCATAATTAATATCTAGGTGATAATTATTGTCTGTGAAGCATCTGAAAAACATGAACTTGAGATTTTTACCAGTACCCACTCGTGCCTCGAATCATCCCAACCCATGTTGAATTTTCAACACAATTGGAAATGACATACGACTATTCCAATATAATATTTTGGGGGGAATGAAGAGCAGAGAGATGTACATAGAGATTAGAGACAGAAACCAGACTATGAAAAGATATACAGATGGAGTGAGAAAGAGAGCAGGAGCAAAGGGTAATGTTTTCCTTGGAGACTTTGTTTCCAACCACAGAATTGATAATGTGTTTCCCTAATTGACAACTTGCACCCACACGCACACAAGAGCAGAGCCATGAATAAAGATTTCTGCGGGTTGTAATGTGCATCGAGGACAGAGACCCTCAGCAACTGATCATAGAATAAAAATTAATTATTTACTTACTAATTTATTACTCTTTATTTAAATGAGAGGAAAGAGGGGACAAGGATGTGTTGGTCGTAAAGGAGACAAAAAGACATAACGGAAAGAGGGGGAAATGGAGATGACCATTTTGCTTCATTTTTATGCTTTTGAAGGCTATTATTTGGTGTATAGCCGAGAAAAAAATCACTGAAAAATGGGCTCTTTCGAACAAAAGTTGTCATGTCAGGCTGCCAGGCAGAAGTTTTACTGTATGCAGTAAATGTATCGAGATTTGGAGAAAACAGGTCTAGGTGACATTTCATATAACTTTAGAAGAAATCAGGCACAAAGTTCTAACATACAAAAGACAGCCCAAACTTTCTTATTGATTAGCACAAATGAGCTGCCTGGCTGTTATTTTGAAAGTGCACTGATGTGTTGTACTCGGTTTCTTTGAGTCAGGCAGGGTCAGCCATCCCTTGAGCCTGTTGTTATTGAGATTGATGGTGATGTTGTACATTTAGATGAACCCAAGACCCAGGTCAAACTACACAGACAGCCAGGACAGCTGAAATTTAAAGTTAAAGATGGCACAACGTGGACATCACATAAAAGACGAGGGATTATATGTCATCTGATTCCATCTTTGAAAAACGATCTATGTTAGCATTAGAAATGGATTTTGAGGAAAAACAATAACAGGAATAACCATGGGTTCAATCAGTGTCAGGAAAGGATTTGGAGGAGTTTTGTCCTGAATAAACCTACACCCACCTACTGCACTGTGAATCTCCATTTCTCTTTAATCATTCAGGAAATGTTTTCACATACTGCAGTTCCCTTTCGGTCAGTACCCTTGGTTCAATGCCAACCTGAAAAACCTTTCTCAAAGTGCCTATAAAGGCCAGTGAGACTGTTGCATGTGAGGGAAGGCCCGGAAAGTCTCATCTCAATCTTTTTGCACCTCACCTTGCAAAACCTGTTCCCAGCAGAACCCTCGCTAGAGACTTAACTGTCTGACAGGAGGTGAGCTAGCAACCTTCCTACCCAGGACGTCCCTATCGAGGCTTGTTTCTGCACTGCGCTTGTTTAGCTTGGTAACTCACCTCACTCTCTGCCGTTAAGCTCAGCTAATGGATATTTGTTTAGCCCCGCTAACAAATTATTTAGGCTATTTCATAACCTCCAGGTTTACATCCAAAGTAGTACAGAGGATATTTACAGTGGGTCCTCTTGGTGAACATACTTATACCCTCTCCCACCACCACCACCACCACCACCACCACTGTAAAACGCAGATGCTAAACCCAGTATTGATCTACTATTGTCTTTTGAAGACAGCAAGAAAAAAGAGGCACTGGTCGAGGACAATAGTGTGGGATTGTGTGTGTGCAGACAGGCGATTAATTGGTTCAAATTTAATGTGCTCCATTGTTTACTCCTGTGTACATCTGTGTGAGCTTTACCCAGAGAAAGAAAGTTATTCATCCTTTGTTATTCGTTTTAAGTGAAGCCCTTAAATCGTAATATATTGAGCCTTTGTATTTATTCACTCACACATTTCAGAGTGTGATTCCAGAACAAAATTCACTGGACATATTCACCTATTTACTGTTCACACATTCCTTTACCAAAAAGTGACAGGAAGAAGACACATCTGACTGTTGAGACATATCATAAGGTGGATTTTAGAGGTGATGCTATTGCATACAAAGTCAGTGGAGAGATGAGAGTGGATGCTATCAGACACAGCTCGCCTGTCATAATATACAACAAGGTGTCACGATTTGTGTCACATATAATACAATGAGTTCTTTGCTTTATTCAAAACTGCAATGCTTTTGGATGCTTTTGTCATTTTATCACATCCAAACACATCCAAAGACATTAATGGTTCATTATTGCAGCTACACATATGGTTTTAAATACTCACATTGGAGACACGGCACACACACTCTGCCTTCTCCAGTCATCTCATTCACATCTTCACCACCTGTACATATGGATTTTGTAAATTAGCAAAGACTGGAAATAAAGCCACTGTCCATACAATCATTACACATATTCCCAGTATAAGTCCTAATCATAATGCAGACCTAGTTTGCCACAACAAAACTGAATTAAATAAATCGTGTCCATGTATTGATATCCTAGGTAAGGGATAGGCCTACCACTGATTGTCACAAACATTTTGGCAAGGTGTGAAACAACCAGCCTGGTGCTGCCATAATATACTGTAAAGTCCCATTGATCAACAGGCTTATTTCTATGCATCAACATTCATGATGTGCTGTGCATTGACCATTTATGGTTGACTGTAGGCATGTAGAGGGCAGGAGATGAGGCTGATCCAAGTGGGGATGATAAAGATGATTTGGGATTTACGAAAGGAAATTGCCCACTGTCAGGCATACACATGGTTCTATAAATCAATCTTTATAGCGCATGCCATTTTTAGCTTTTGCCTGCACATACATTTTAGTATGGATCCTACCGGCTGTTTTATAAATGAGACCCCTAATTTGTTTGTTTTGGAGAGGAAGAGACCTCTGCGGATAATTCTGCTCTTGGTAAAAACCTCCTGAACTTAAACACGAAAGAAATTCTAACCGGGAGAAACTTACTGCAATAATGGCACTGACTATCTGTTGTTATTGTTTTGACTGAGCCCCCTAGCGGCAGAAAATTACATGTTTAATATACAACCACCTGGCCCTAGGTAAACAGAATGATGGATGCATGGATGGATGGACATTTAAAAACATCATCCTAACAAAAGAAATGGGTGTCGTCTGCAAACAAATTTGACATTTCATAAATATAATTAAACAAAGAGATAAGGGAAAGCCCTCACCCCCTAAACCACACTAAAAACCTGAATGTCATGTGGCTTGAGCAACCACTAGAGCCAACTCAGTTAACCTGTGGTTAAATTATGGAAAAAGATGCACTGTGGTCGGCAAAAGTAAGGAGCTTTTAGGCATTGATAGCACAGACACATCTTGAGTGCAGCAGAGATGGCATATTGCCTTCAGTAAGGAAAGAAGTAATTTGACACAGACTGGGAGAAGTGGAAATAGGATGTTATTTGTAGATACCAAAGCTAATGAGCTCCTTTCACAACTTTACTGGGCATTCCAGCTATCAGATTTATTAGAAACTTTAAATGGCGGATGGTACCCTGGTAAAATAGCTGGTGGAGGGCTGGTGCTCATTTCTAATGCTGTGTGGTTGGTTAACATCAACAGTGTTGTTTGGTTTGTTGTTGCTTTTTGATGTCATAAATGTCTTTCAACCTTCAGCTTGTTTGCTCAAGAAGAATTTAAATTAGAAAAATAAAGTGAACAAGGTTAGAATACGGTTAGCAAAATCATCCACATAGAGGGGTTTATTGGAGGGCTGTCAGTGTGACAGATGAACAGACAGAACCTTTTAAACTGTGAGAAGATTTTTGAACCAATTAAGTGCTGATGTTGCCACCTCAGACACATTTTCCAGATCCTCGCACTGTGGAAAAACCCTCTGGGAGAGGCTGACGTGTAATATTTTTTACACCCTCATCTTCTGAGTTGAGGTTGGATATTTTAATTGGGGCTAAATCTGTCAGAGCCTCAGAAAATCTTAAACTTACATTGAGGCTTCCCCCATAGCTTTGACTTCTGTTGGTAAGCTGTGGAATTGTAATAACTACCTCTGCTGTTGAATTCCTCTGCCACATCATGCTGAAAAATTGACATTTCCAGTTTTAAATAACTATAGATACTTTTTGAAAGATTGCATTTTCAATTATGGGAAAGGAGCGGTACTGTAATTTTACACAACAAACTTTCTGTTGGCTAAAATGGATTATTGCAGATTTGCTGCTGTTGAGAAAAGGAAAAGATGAGGAGAGGCTGAAGCAGGGGGAGAGTCTCAGAAGACTGTAGGTTTATTTTTAGTTGTCCAGTAGTTTTCTGTGCTTCACAACACATTGAAAATCTGCTTGAGAGAGAATATGTAACTAAGATGAGCCACTGTAGAAGTTCTACATGTACAGTTTTATTGCATTTCCAGTATTTTTTTTCACATTTGTCAAAGAAGTACTGTTAAAACAGAGCCCAAGCCCTTATTGAATGAAAATCATTCACGGAATATATTACAGGAAGGTGTTTTACTTAAATGTTTTGTCAGTAATATTGATTTCAGTGTCACTAAGCTATACCATAGACCAGTGATTCCCATCTGGTCCAGCCACAGGGTCCAGATTTGTCCTTGGTCATTTGCTCAAGGTCCACACAGTTTGGTGCATTCAGCGTTCGGCCATGTCATTGAGCTAGTTTGCTGTCTCTGTCATGTAGATGTCTGTTAGTCACTCACTCTATAGCAGTGAATGGCACTTCAAAGTCAAAATTCTGAACCAGAAATTCACTGTACT